CCAAGCAGGCCCGGCCCCTGCCGAACGGAGTTGCCGGCGGAGCGAAGCGGAGCTGGCAACTTCGTTTGGCGGAAGGGCGGGCCTGCTTGTTGTAGGCTTCCACCGATAATATATTGCTTATTTTCACCCGCCACCCATACAACACGACTTTTTATTATTTAAATGAGTTGTTGAAAACCCGAGCTGGACAGGTTCACCATCTTGGGTGCCGGCCGCCGGCAAGGCACACAGACTGGGGAGGCTAGTTCAGAACTTCGTTATTGGCAGCTGTGGGCAAAACCTTTCAGACTGATAGTTCAAGAACTGATACTGGAAGTACCAACTGCTAAAAAAATCTTAGAGGGGCGGTAACTACGTGTCTTGATGTGTCAATTCTAGATTCCGTTGGAAACTCTCGTACCTCGAAGTGTATAAATCGATGGGTCCTAAGAACGTTGTCCGATCTCGCAGTGACGCTTCAACATTGTTTGATCTCGCAGTGACGCTTCAACGTTGTTTGATCTCGCAGTGACGCTTCAACGTTGTTTGATCTCGCAGTGACGCTTCAACAAAGTCCGATCTCCTTTTGACGTTCTCTGCAGCGCCATCTTCTTTCAATTGCGAGTTGAATAATATTGGCAGTAGAGAAAAAGTAAAACCATCAATGTCGTCCTTAATCTTTTAAGAACACATCGCAATTTTTACTTTTTCTCTACTGCCAATATTATTCAACTCGCAATGGAAAGAAGACGGCGCCGCAGAGAACGTCAAAAGGCGATCGGACTTTGTTGAAGCGTCACTGCGAGATCAAACATTGTTGAAGCGTCACTGCGAGATCGGACAACGTTCTTAGGACCCATCGAAATGAAACGGAGAAAAAACGGTCAAAAATGTCCGGAATTAGACATTTTGACGGTACGGTATACTTTAAGGTTCATGTACCCAGTATTATACGCGTCGGCCACCCCCCTGGTAAGCCGTATATAGCTTATGTTAGATTCTTGGATTGCAACAGTGCTTCTCACTTCAAGAATGATTATTTACCCACTACTCTAGAGCAAGCCATCACGGAGGCGCCTAGAGGTAAATTGACAATGTACGAGTTTGCATTGGAAGAAAGCCCTACGTATATTTGACACTATGACCGTCCCGTTACGTAGCCGGTTCCGACACTGGCGAGGTCTTTAAGAGCTCAGCTACCCGTCCCATCCACATGCCCAGCCCAGCCCCGAGAAGGCGCGGCCATCGAACAGCAAGACCGGATCAAGAGGCGTGCAGAAGAACATCCAAAGGCACCTCCTGCCCAAATCTTGCAGCAGAAGTTACATCGGGTTCATTAACCTCACGTACGTCAATAATAATAATAGTAATAATAGAGTGAAAGTACCCAAGAATGCAATTTTAGTTTATGCTCACACACGCTCCGCCCAGCCGGCGGCGCGCTAGGGGACCAGTGCTCCTAGCGATCCTGGCGGCCGAAAGTTTCAGTCGCCATCCTCATTTCAGTGAAAATGTTGAAATTATTTTAAGTAGTTGGAGAGACATACTATGAAGCCTGAGGGCCAGGGATTTGCATTCATTTTGATTGTCAGTCAACAGTTTG